GGGGGGGGGGGGGGGACACCGTGGCGCGCTCTGGGCTCCTTTTGTGAACGGAGGGAAGCGTCTCCTCCCCGCGTCCCTGAGAACGGTCAGCCCGGGTTCTCAGCGCTGCGTGCCCCGAATAATAAATTGGGTTCTCTGGGGGTCGGAATCCGGGCCCCACCCTGTGGGGCTTTGAGCTGGTCGGGGTTCCCCAAAGCATCGCCGCGATCGGCTGCGTCGGGATCCCCGGGGGTCCACCCCACCGTCTGAATCCGAACCCCTGGGAGGGGCCCAGGAACCTGCCCTTTTGGTAAATCGCCCAGGTGATTCCGATGGCGAGGCCAGTGTGGGAATCGTCGTTCTAAACCTTCCACCTGCCTTAGGGCGGGCGATTGTAAAATTTCTCCCCTGAACTTCTGGAGATGGGATTGTCACACCCGCCTCAGTCCACGGTAACGTTCATTCTCCCTGCTGATGGAGGAATCCTTCCTGAGTCTGGCTGTAAACCCTCCTGCTTTAATTAAGCACATTTTCTTCCGTGTGGTGGGGTTTTTTTTTTCCTTTTCTTTTTTTTAATGGGATAACGAACCTGTTGGAAGACAGCTGTGCTGCCTCCTTTGTGGGACCTTTCTCGGGGGACCTGCTTTCCTCGTTCAGCCTCCGTATCCGGCTGAGCCGCCTGACTGGACCGCGTGGTGAGAGAATCCAGGACAGCCACTAGCCCGTGAATGAACGTGGTCCCTTCCCGTGATGGCTAAACAGCTCCCTTCCAGGGTTTAGAAGATAACCCAGGAGGCTCCCCAAGTACCGGATGCTGGAAAATCCCAGCAAAGGCGAAGGGAAAAAAGCCTGCAGCCAGCCCTCCGGAGCCCGCCTGACCATACCATCTTCCCTTTGGCTGGCCCTTGTCCTTGATTTCAGGATGAGTTAAAATTCTTATCTGCTGTGCCTCCAGCCTACTCGGACTCGCTTTCCTGACTGCTGCAGCTAGACTTTCCCAGGCTTGGTGGGGTTATTTTTGCCTCTGGGTGGTGGTCATTACTTCCTTCCACAGTATGAGGTTCAACACAGCCACGGGGGAAAAAGAGTAAGTTAGCAAAAACACCCTCAAGATGGCAGGACTGACCCCCAAACCTACTTTCATTTTCTTCCGGTCTGGGTTGTGGGTAATTTCTTGACAACTATGAGAAAGAAGACAATGAAAAATGAATTTTTTTTTTTCTCCAAAGCAATTGTGAACAGATGTATAATTCCCCGGTCTCAGGAATGTCCTAGGACTCCCTTACATCACCTTAAAGGGGCAGAGGTGCCAAGGGCAGTGTTGATATTCACCCGCAGGGCTTAGCCTCTCCTAAAGACGCCAGCGGCCACGACCCAGGTCACCTTTGCTGGTTCAGGGCTTCTAAATTTGGCCATGTGTGCGCAGACTTGCTTCCTTTCAGCAATTGATCTGAGTAGCAGAATCCCATTCTGGATGGCCCGAATCATCCACAAGCCAGTGGGGGTGAAAGCCGTGCTAATTGGCCACTTGCCTCACCACTGGCTTTTAAACAATCGGTTGTATTCTCTGCCCGGCAGGAAGCAGCAGGCCCATCAAGGCTCTGGGCTCCCTCTTTGTTCTGACTTTATGGCATTTTATGCCACAATGAGAAACACTGTGTACTCCGTGGGAGCCCATTGTGCCAGGCTGCAAGGATGTGGCTCCTGTGCGGAAGGGCTGGTGGTCTTCCCCCCAGCAGAAGAGGGGCTTTGTGACAGGCTGGAGGACAAAACGAGGGGTGCCAGACGCTGTTCCTAGGGCAACTGCTGGCCATTGTGGAGGCAGCGTTGGCCCCTGGGTCCCTGTCACCCGCAGACTAGGGGGAGGGCAGGAGAAGGATGGACTCTGTCCTAAGTAGCAGTCCTGGGGACGGGGTAAATTATACGCCAGGACTGAGCTATCCGCAGCTCCCATGCCCTCCTGCTGAGCCGGCCACATCCCGGCCTAGACTCAGAGCCAGGTGACCGCATCTATATTAACCAGGCCTCATTCCTCAAGGAAATGCCTTCTGGGTGAGCGGGGAAGTTTCCCCAAATGAGGGCCAAGCCTGGGCCTCAAATATTTTGGGTCGACTTGGTCCTTTGAGGCAAGAGTTTTGGGTTTTCTACGAACAGTGTGAATGGGAGGACCTGGAGAAAGTCCCTGTGGCCTCACACGTGAATGGGCCAGTGGGGTTTCAGAGCTCCTTCAAGACCCTGCCCGCCTCCCAGGCCAGCCGCTGCGTTCCCTGCCCCTCCTCCCAGTTTCACACAGGTGGAAGTTGCCCTACAGGTGAAATGTTAATACAGCACACCCGGGGCAGGAAACCAGGGCGGTGCGGGTGCTCACTCCAGGAGGACGCAGGCACTGTCATGATCCCTGAAAGGCCCGGGGTCCCTTCTGCTCTTTGCCTTTTAGCTCATGGACCGAGATTCTTTCTATGGTTTGACGTAGTCCATGGAGGTCGGCACTTTGGGGCATCGGGGAGCTGCCTTGGGCAAGCAGGGAGAGGGATTCAGGGTACAGGTACATTTCATCGAGGAAATGGAGAGCATGATACTGACAAAACCTATGGCTAGGAGAGAGCCCAGGACAGGGGACTTTGTGGGTACTGGCCCTGAATAATGGAGTACCCCACATGGGCACTGAGAGGGAGGGAGGTGAGGGAAGGCGAGTCCATTTAGCTTTCCCACAGAGGACAGCCCTGTGTCCCCATCAGCTTAACAGGCAGCTGGTGGGGTCCTGCGTTCTCTGGAGATGCTTCCACCGTGAGCATTTGGAGAAAAGGCCAGTTTCCTGGTGGGCCCTTGCAGAGAGTAACAGTCAGTGTTTCCTTCAGCCTGGACCTCACTCTGTGCCCTTTCCGTCTCCAGTGCCCCCACCTGGGCCCCCTTAACCCATCCCACTGCAGCAGCAGCTGCCCGCCCTCCACGTAGCTGCTGCAGTTTTCGCTCAAAAATGCAAATCTCCCGGCCTGCCAGCCTGGAACTAGAAACCCTCCCAGAGCTGCACACAAACCCTCCAGCCCCTGCTCCCTGCCTCCGCCTCCACACTCACTTCCTGCCAGCTCCAGCCGCGCTCCTCTCCTCGACTCTCTCATACAAGTCTTCCTCATTTCTCTGAGCCTCTGCCTTTCCTTCTGCATGGAATGCCCTTTCCCTCACCACCATCCCTTGTCCAGCTGCTAAACTCCCCAAGATTTGGTTGGGACATCACCTCCTGAGCTGATCATGTTGGGGGGGCAAGCATGGAAGCAGCTTTGGCATGAGGCTTCTCAAGCAGTGGGAAGGCCCATGGCAGAGGGTACAACCCAACTGGATTAAAAGCAAGTCCTCTTGGAACGTTAGTTTGTGTCTCTGAAGACCCTGCCTGGACAGTTGGTCCTGGAGAAGGAGTGGTAGGAAGGGGTGAGAAGGGTGGTTCCTCCCGGGACCTAACTGCTCTGGGCGCTTCCGCATCTGGCTCCTTCTTCCATCGTAAAGCACATTTCTTGATACTCTTGGTTACATGCTTATCTCTCTTCAGACTCGGAGCCCCTTATAGGCAAGGAGTTTGTATTCCCAGAATTTAGTTTAGAACCTGGCACGTAGTAGGCATACAGAAATTCTTTGAATAGACAAATATATACCTTGAACTTGAGAGGGTTCCTTTACCTAGAATACTGTTCACGCTCCACAAATTTGTGCTACTACTTTCTCCAAAACATAACTCAAAACTCACTTCCTAGAGAATAGGCTTTGGTTTATTAGTTCATTGATTTGAGCATCAAAGGTTACTGAGCACCTACTATGCGGCAGGCATTTTCTAGGCACTGGAGGTTTGTGGGTCACAAAGAGAGATAAAAATTCCACGACCGAGCTGCCAGTGACCGCCACCCTCCCCCCACCCCCGCCCCCCAGGAGACCATGTCCTCATTTGCAGTCATTTAGCATTTTGGTAATCACTCAATGGCCCTGGAGTCCACAGTGCCTGGGACATGATCATCAAATATGATTGGTTCACTGTATGCCCAGATCATCAGACAGGTGTAGAAGGCCCGGCTTTGCCTTCAAGTAACACAACCTCATGAGGGAGACAAATGGTTTGTTTATGGGATCACTGGAAACCCCAGAAGTCCCAGCCAGGGAAGATCTGGTTAATTCACAGCCTCTAGAAATTCACTGGATCCACTGGTTCTCTTGACCAAGTGCTACTTTCCAGTTATTTCCAGTCTTTACAAATATGTGAGTCTCATCTTCCAGCTTGGTCAGAATGGGACAACATGGCGTCATGTCAGGTGTCCACTTCCCCCGATTCCCATCTCGGCACCCGAAACAAGCCAGGGCATGGATGAGAGAGTGAGTGAATGATCATCGCCATGGGCAAGCATTCATCACTGGGTGTCTTAATGAGACACCACCAAGGAGTCAGACATGAATGGGTTCTCCAGTTCTGATAGGTAAAGGACAGAAGGGTTTTTTCCCCAACATAGGGCCTTTTTTCTTTCTTTTTTTTGCTACATGTTACACTCAGATTCTTAGTATATTCTACAAGAAGATCCCGAGACTCAAATCCAGGAGAGTGTGAATTTGACAAAAGTCATTTGTTTTTGTCCTTCCATTTGGGTCCCTCTTAACTGGCTATTTGTACTGGTTATTGTGTGGTGGTTTTAGTGCGTGAGATCTATTTCAGGGTTTCCCAAATTAAATGTAAGCCTAAGAGTGTTGCCCTGTCCATTCTGCTTCCTTCTTCCTTCCCAGCAATCTGGGTTCCCAGATTGCTCCTGGTGTCACTTACTCCTTCTCTAAGATAGTTTTACCAGAAAGTTCTGCAGACTCAATGCTTTAAGGCCTTGGTTTTCACCCATGGGGTTGTACTGTACGTTGTCCTCTCGTGTTTGTCCTGCAGTCCTGGAGGCTAGCATTGCTTACATTAGCCTGTTGAGGTTTTAGCCATCTGTAACCTATATCAAACACTGGGTGCTTTGAAGTTCAATGTGCAATAAAAAGTTCATTAAAAAAGATGTGGAATCATGAAAATAAGGTTACAGAAATGTTAACAAAGGATCGTTTCCTGCTTCCTGTATTTTTTTTTTAAATGTATTTCTCTGAGGAATTTATGTCACCATTAAAACTACGGAAGAGTTAAAGGAAGGACAGGCCTGGGTCAAAAAGAGGGTGAGATTCCTGAGGAGATATCTTGGCCAAGACCCAGCCTGTTTTCTTAATTGAGAGCTTGAGGTCTAAGGGGAGAATTTATGCCAGAAAAAAAAAGGAGGGACAAATCTAGAATTCTTATGACTGATGGTTTGAACCCAGCATCACTAATAGGGATGGCTCAGAAGCCTGCTGTCATTGCAAGGTCTGGGCTATGTCAGGGACCCTCAGAATCACTGGGTTCCAGCCTCCAGGCAGGTGCCTCTTACCCACTTGAGGAAGAAGAGGAGAGAGACATGAAGAGAGACAGAAAGTGGGGGACAGAGAAGAGAAAGTCAAGAGAAAGAGAGATGCATAGGGAAAGGGTGGCAGAGTGTCACCAAAACTGCCTTGTGACACGACTGGTGGCTTGCCCGTCGCCCACACTGCCTTGCTTGCCAGTCACGACCTCCTGATAGGAGCAGAGGTCAAGTTTCAGGCCCCGAGGGGCATTGAACGCTAAAAGCAGACCAGTCCCTGGCATGACTTTAAGGTAAGTGAGGTACCCGTGTCTGGCTACGGAGTACGCTTTCCTGGCCTGGCCACAGACAGGCATTTGGCCAAGAGGGAAGTCCCTTGGGGCTCTGCGTTCTGACTGGACAGTGACCAAATGTACATTTTGCTGGACTTTGCTAAGTCCAGGCTCCAATTAGTAGCGGGGCCAGGCTTCTCCCCCCAAACTGCGTGGCCTCATAGAGGGCTCCTGGTTCTCCTGTTAAACGAAGGGCAGCCCCAGATGACTATTCCCGGTGAACACATTGTCCCCTCTCTAATGACAAATGGGACACTGTCGGCACCTTTATTTCCTGGCCTCACACATGCAGAGACACTGGAATAACACACTCTGGGAGCCGAGGCAAAAGAAACAGTTCTCCTTGGGGGAAGGCCCCTGTTTTTTATGGACCCTCTGAGCTTGGGCCATGGGCACGCCTCACAGCCTTGCTGGCCTCTACTTGGGGGAGCAAATATCTCCAGAGACTCACTTGCTTATATGACCAAGAGTGACCATTTAATTGCTATTTATGTTCAATAGGAAGCAATCATGTGATTATCCCTTACTTTTCAGCCAGAAGGCCCACTGTGCATACACTTAGCAGCCACTACGTCTTAGTCCTAATGATGGCAGTGCCATATCCTACCAAGTGACCGTGAAGGCCTCAACAGATTGCACATGTATTAACCAGCGCTGCAAGGTTTGGGGGACTGCTGCCGACGGCCCGGGTCGGAGCCACACTCACCCTCTCTCTGATGACTCGGTTGTAGTTGCGTCTCATGAGTTCTGCAAACCTCTGCTCATAGAGGTGAAGCAGGAGCGCCAGGTACAAGCCTGAGTTCATCAGCTCATTTTGTGCCTAAATATGGAAAAGAGACTCCTAAGTGCATCTATAAACTATTCACGGTCTACATCACAGGGCAGAGGGTAGTAAGGACACCGGGTGACAAGAAGTGGGACAAGACCCCAAACCCCAAGGCAAGGCCTGCCTTTGGGGATCAGAGAACAGAGCAAGAGAGGGGGGATCCTTTACTGCTCTCTCAGGGCAGAGGCTGGAAATTCTTTACTGCTTAGTGGAGGATGCCCTGAAAAAGCCCCGTGCTCCAGGCTCAACCCCATGCCTTGAACGTTTATTGAGCAGTTACACGTCAAAGCCTTGAGCAGGGTGTTGTGGGGAATATGAGGTCCTGCTGGGAGCCCATCGTCTGGTGTGGGACAGCCTCGTTCAGAGACGGTTCTAGTACCAGCTGCAAGTGTCACATGCTACACTGGAGATGCACGGGGAAGAGAGACCAGTTTACTAAGACATGGGGAAGGCCCCTTGGACTGTCCCGAATGGATGGGAGCACCTTGGGTGGGCTCTGAGGGTCGGTGAGGGCCTTTCAGACAGAGGCATGGAATGCCAGCAAAGGCACAGGGGCGGAGAGAGCAGAGCACGTATTGGGTAACATCCCCTACGCACTGGTGTGGCTGGAGTGTATGGGGAAGGTGTTTGTCTTGGACTGAAAAACTCTTTGGGCATGGGCTGGCGAGATGGGAAGGTGGGAGGGTATCAGGCCGAACCAAGAGTTTGGATGTCCTGCTGTGTGTGTATACCTAGCTACCTGAGCGGAGGAGTAAACACAATGAGATGTGCATCTTAGGAAGGAAAAGTTTTCTGTGGGAGAATGTGGAGCACAGATGCCACGGGCATTTTGTTTTCCTAGATCCCTTGTTTGTCCAGAGAAAAGGCCCCAGGTCTTAGTTCTGTGTGTTTCTCTCTGTATAATTGGGCTTAATGATGGTCTCACCTAAAGCCCCCAGCCCTGGCTGGTCCATTAACTCCCAGAGGGCAAGCTGAGCATGTGCCCAGTAGAGTTCCAGATGGACTGAGAACCTCAGGGCCTTGGCTCACCTCTTCCTCATTCCATCGGTGGGCTTGGTTTGTTCTTCTGTTTTGAGTGCCCCCCGCCCCCCTCCCCCTCCTCCCCACCCTCCCCTACTCCTTTCACAGGACTTCCTTCGCAATGTCTCCTGCTTGTAGAAGCCTTCCTGATGAACCTTATTTTGCTTTTCCTCAGCGGTGGGTTGTGTTTTATTTTTCTCACGGGTGCTGGGAACATAGGGAGGTACACAGGGAGGGTCTGGCTGTCTGGCTGAGGACAGCTCCTCTGTCCTCAGTGCCTTTGGTGGTCTATGCCACAAGGCCTGTGGACCCTTTCTGGACCTTCAATAAATTAGGGGCATTAGAAACGACTCCTCCTCCTCCGCTTTGTTTCCCTGCCTGGCCTCCCATCAGATCCCCATGGGTGGGGGAGGGGGAAAGGCCAGACCAAGCTCGGGAAGCCCCTGGGAGACTAAAATCCCTAGCAGAGGACATGGCCCTCTGCATCACCCTGGGCAAAGGTCAGAAGTGTGACTGTTTCCCTAGGATAACTGAAGCTCAGACCTGACGCAGCGACCACCTCAGTGCTTTTCCCTTCCTTCCGGGCCTATCTCCCTGTTCCCATTGCATCAAGGGTAGCTCAGGAAGAACAACAAAACAGCTGCCAGAAGAGGTGCCCAGGTTGAGCAAGGATCGGTGCACTCTTCCTTCTGGATCAGGTCCAACTCTGGATCTTGACCACTGGCCCCAAGGTCACGGCTCAAGGCCCTTCCGCTCTCCTACGGACCTGTCTTTAAAGGCTCTAGTCAGCTGTCCTTAGCAGTTAGCCTCCTATTTTTAGCCTTTGGTCGTGTTTTCTGTGCTCTCCTGACCTTGGCCTAGAGCGGGCAGAGAGGAAGTTGCTTGTTTTCACTTTTTTCCTAATTGCCTCCTCCCACCTGCCTCCTTGTCGGCTGTCTCGCAAGCCACCGCCTCTGGGAAGCCTTCCTAACCCACACCCTTCGGCTCCTCCCTGCACACTGAGCCTTCTCCCTTGCTTGCTTCTATCCCTGGCTGGCGGTGGCCTCCCGCGAGCTACTGCTGGTTTTCTCTCCAGCACCCTCTTCGCCAGTAAGCCTTTGTGCTGAGAGACACTCCGATGCATAATGGCAAATCAATCAGCTAGAAAATGGCTTGGAACGATCAGGTTTGTCAAAGCATTCAGGGAAATCATTTACTTTTTATGACTCAATAAGGCCCGGAGGCATGCAGATGGGGAAAATATCCACTAATGTTTTCTGCAGATAATTTGAAAAGTCACTTCTAGCAGATTGTGTCTCTTCTCTGGCCTGTGGGAGGGAACCTGTCACGTGGCACCATAAATCTCACTGGCCGGGGCCCCTTGATGTGCGCCCTTTGCAGAGCTGGTGATGCACCACAGAGGGGCTGAGCTGACCAATCAGAGCATGCGTTTGCTAGTGAACTCAGTCATCTCAGGCTCCGAGCCACAAGTGGGAGGGACTTGTTATCACAGAGAGTTCCAGGGCATTTGTTCGGCAAGGGCAAAATGAGCTGGGTTTTGGAGCGTTATTTTTGTAGCTCTCCTGACCCTCCCTCCCCGAACCATTCTGGTGGGGCATTGACACCCATGTGCGGTGTCGGCAGTGGGTGGGTGGGTGGGGGGCAGGGAGGCTCGAAAGAGAGGAGGCTCATGAAGCCATGGACAGGAGCCCCGAAGAACTCAGGCTGCCTGCCAGATGTTTTTCTTTCTTTTCTCCCACCTCCCTCCCACCCCTTCATTTTGTTACTATTCATTTGGGCCAAGAGATTGGCTACCTATGGAAATTCTCCATATAATCCACTCAAAGACGCAGACAGCCTGGCTGAATGTCCTATCAAGTCTTCAGATGTGTTCAAGAGATGCTCCTAGGTGTGAGGGTGATTAGGTGGCTGCGTGTGTCCAAGGACATCTGTCCGTGGCGGCGATGGAGCAAAGCCAGGCCTGTGCTTCAGAGCAATGACAGCCAGAGGCCCGCTGAGACCCTCCTGTGCAGCCGGGCAAAGAAGACAGCAGCACATCTCCATCACGCAGTGGGCGTGGGCCCCCAGAGCGGGGCAGCCTGGGGCCATCGAGTGCTGAGACTTCGGGTGGAGTTTTAACTGGGCCTGACCCAAGTGACTCCAGTTATAAAAAGGGGAGAAGTAACCTCTATCCTGCCTGTTTCTCCAAGGTGTTTTTGGCAAAATGAGCTAATACAAGTGGACGTGGTATGTTGCAAAATAAAAATATCCTATGAGAGGCAGAGAGGAAAGATAGGACTCAGGGCAAGGACCACATGTGCCTGTTTGATCCTGTGCTCGTGCCTAGCCCTGGATATTTGGTGTGTGCTCAATAAATATATGTACAGATGAAAGAATGACAAAAATGTATGATTTTGGACCAGACGGTGGCCCATTTAGCCGTGTTTTTTGACCCTAGTCACTCCCAACTTGAATGTGCATCAGAATTACTGAAAGGGCCTTTTAAAACATAGCTGCTGGGGGTCACCTGGGTGGCTCAGTTGGTTAAGCATCTGACTCTTGATTTCAGCTCAGGTCCAGATCTCATCGTTCGTCGGATTGAGCCCAAGCCTAGCATCAGGCTCTGTGCTGATAGCATGGAGCCTGCTTGGGATTCCGTCTCCCTCTTTCTCTGCCCCTCCCCTGCCTCTGCTCATATGCACTACACATGCTCTCTCGCTCTCTCTCTCTCAAAATAAATAAATAAACTTAAAAAAAAAAAAAGCAGTTGCTGGGCACCACCTCTCCCCCTCCCCCAGATTCTGATTCAGTGGGTCTGGTGGGTAGAGCCAAAGAATGTGTATTTCTAACAAGTTCCTAATTGATGCTGATGCTACTGGGGATCACCCCTCTTGGAGAACCACTGCTCTAAGCTATGGATCAACAATGTGGTCTGGGGATGTGCTCTGGTGGGAAGGAAGGAAGGAAGGGAAGGGAAGTAGGGAGGGCGGAAGGAAGGGAAGGAAAGAAAGGGAACGAAGGAGAGGAAGGATGGGCAGACAGACACGAACTTCTCCAGTTGGAGACAGTACTCTCCATTTTGCCTCGGTGACCACCTCCCTTTATTATAATGACGCCTGCAGGATTCCGACCGTTTAATATGGGCCTGGCCTCTATGGCGTCTGAGTGTACAATCTGTGATCTAAACTGTGCTTCAGCCTGCTTTCTCCTGGCCTGTCTTGGAGTTTGGAATGTTAGTTCGAGCTCTATCTGGGGGGTTCTTCCTTGCACCCCAACACTGAGTGCCCCAGCCAGAGCCAGATCTGAGGCCTACTTCCCAGGTGAGAAACGTCACACAGGACTCCTCCTTCCCGGACAGCACCCACAGAGCGAAGGATGCTTCTTGGGCTTACTTTTCAGGCATCCTTGAGTAAGGAGGGTGGGAGGGTTGAGCTATGATTGGGCCACCAGGTGCCAGCAGCCCCAACGTGCTGAGTCCAGGTCCTAGGGCCCCCGCAGTTGTTTCTGCTTCATGGGGCCACTCTGCACACAGCCTGTAGGAGCTGCTAATCCAGCCACTAGAAGCCAAGTAACAAGCCTTGATCTACGGGGCCTACAGGAACCACCCAGTGTCTGAGGGATGGGGCATAATCACATTTCAATGCCCTGTTAAAACCCATGGGCAACATTCACTCTACTTCTACTCAGGTGCGTTGAAGCAAACCAGGAAAACACTGGTCTAAGCCCCTCCACACCCTCAAAGCCATTGACAATGCTGACTGGACACCCAGTGGGCATGACTGCGATCTGGGATCAGATCTGGTGTCAGGTGTCTTTCTTTGATGTCTCAGATTTTGCCTTCAAGGGCAGGTGGATAGAGAGCTCACTCCTCTTTTTCCTTCCTGGTCTTAACTGTCTCTGCCTCAGGGAATCTTTCTCTGGTCCTGAGAACGGGTCAGACCTCTTTGTGGCTGTTCCCAAGCTGCCTGCGCATCCCTCGTTGTGATGCTCCCACACTAGGGTTACCCTCCCTATGCCCTTCCCGTTAGAAGGAAGTGACTGTGCTGGTCTTGGGCACCTCGGTGTCTCCAGCAGAGCATCTGATATACAATAGGCTCTCAATATGTGTTTTAAAAGTTAAACTTTTATGTTATGTGTATTTTGCCACATTTCAAAAAAAAATTTTTTTTTTGATACCTGGGCCCATCCCAGATCAATTAAATCAGAATCTCTGGGGCCCGGCCTAGACATGAATACTTTAATAGGAAAATAAAAAGGCATGCAGCTAAATGTTAATTATAGGGGATTTTTGCATGTTTGTGATTTTTATAATTGAAGAAAAGCAAACAAAAACAAAAACAAAAAAAACCCCAAAACCACCTAAAGAAAAAATGCATAAGATAATAAGTTAATTGTTAATTAGTGAGTTAGCAAGTTAGTTGAGGTCAAGTGAGACCCAGACTGGGCTGAAGTCAGTTCTAGGCTTCTTCTGGTTTTGATCTTTTCCTTGTATATGTCTGTTTTGGGGACCAGCTACCTCACGTCTCAACAAAGGAACTTGTTTGCCAGGAGTGAAGGGCACTGGGCATTGGCTAAGATGGCCAGAGGACCAAGGTTTGAGAGTCGGGAAAGGCCTGGACCTCAGGAGCCCGTGTAGACATAACAACTCCAAGGCCAGGCCAAGGGGCCTCCCCAGCTGGGGACGAGCCGAGAGCATATTATAGCATATTATATCCTCCATATCTTTCTGTTCAACAATAGTTACTTCCGCATTGGTCCACGGAGTTTCTGAACTTGTCTAAGTCATGCTTCCCTACTGTCTCAAGTTTAACTCAGACTGTTGGCAAACAGACTCCATTAAATCCACAAGGGTCCATCAGAGCAGTCAGAACCATTGCGAAAGGGTGAGCCCGCAACTGTTTTCCACCTGCAGGTGAATACTTCTCGTTGGTTCTTGGGACTGTTGTTCGCCCACCAGGGTGGGTCTGTCAGTCTAGTTTCCACCTGTGGTTATAATGAAGGGCATTTTCAAAAGGCTTTGATGGCCTGTCAGGTTCTTGCTGAAACTCATTTAAACTCTTTTCTGCTTCCATGTAGAGTAATCACTGTGCTAGGTATTTTCTGCTTTCCCCTCCAGATTCAGTTTCCACCCTGTGCTGTGCCCTACACGCCGATCTCAATGGATCGCATTAACTAGACCCCCTTGTTCTCTGGCTTCCCGTTGGGTTTGGCCAATGGGAGGCCCTGGCAGGGGACCAGAGGGCGGGAGGAGAGGGAGGCCGGGTGGTTATTCTTCTTGTTCCCTCTCTGCTGGAGAGTGGTGTGGCAGTGGCTGCTTTCCGTTACTGAAGGTCACAGGCCATTGCAGACTCTCTCTCCTATACCTATGGGTCTCTTGATCCTGGTGGTTGCACCCTCCCCTTGTCACTTGAGGCCTGGGAAAGGTCACAATGCCAGTCTCAGGATACTTCATCCTACCTTGTTGGTTTCTTTTCCTGCACATTTCTGCTCTTAGGTCAGCTCTCCTTACTCACCCCTGTTGAGGGTGCCTCGATCTCTTCCACCAAGATTCTGGCTAACACAGTTACTTCCATGGTTCTGGTTAGGACATGCTTGTAGATGCTTCTCTCCACTGGTAGGATGCAGTGAAGCCAAGGTTACGGGTATGACCCCTGCATGGGCTGGTTGGCTTTTTTCAGTGATGGACTCTAGCCTTGTCCTGGCGTGCTTAGCTGCCTCCCTCGAGTCCAGAGACGTTGGGCATCTCTGGGGCTGTAACACGGTGGATCTCATTTCCTGAGCGCCTTCTCTGCACAGGTCCTGGATTAGGGGTTATCCTCAAGTCTTTTCCTACCTCTCATCCTGTGGGGTAGGAACTATCTCCTCCTTCCTACAGATGAGAGAACTGAGATCCAGAGAGCTTGTGTAGTTTCCCCGAGGTCACACAGCAACTTTGGGGAGGGGAATAGGGATTTAGGTTCATACCTTCATCAAAGCTGGTGTGCTCTTCGGTGGGGTAGGCTGCCTCTGGCTACGTGAGTGCAAACATTTTACTACAACTTGAAAAGTCTGCTGTGAGTGAATTCTACAAATACCAATGGTAAACCAACAGCGCACAGTGGTGGTAGCTGCTTTGCAGAGGGTGAACGATGCAGAAATACTTGGAACCAACAGGGGTCTTCCCTAGACAAGGCAATCCCTTGGGCTGCACTGTGTGATGTCTGCAGACCATTCTGGTAGTATTCCACATAACCTGGCCTTGTCTGGACATGTCCTTCTCAGGAAGTCCCACAGGTTCCATTTCCGGAAATAATCATCCAAGATGACCACGTGGAACCTTATGCACCCTGGCTGGCATCCTGATCTCAGGCGCTCACGGGCCCTGGTTCCCTTCAGTAGTGTGGTTCCAGAATCACTTCTGTTTCTCATCTCAGTGCCTGGGGTTTGTGACCGAGTGATTCAAGACCCTCAGGCCTCAGAAAGGATGGACTCAAAATACATTTATTTCTCAGGAAATTCTTTCTTCCTTTTTTCCAAGTTTTCCAAGAAACTTCTTGGTTGTGCTATTCAAATATTTCATTCTTATCAATAGTTTGTCCTTCTGTCTTGAAGCCTTAGGGTTTTAAAAAAGGTAACTAAACAATTGCCTAGACTCAGATGCAGCATTTTGACTCAGCTGTGCTTTTTTCCAAAAAACAAACAAACAAACAAACAAAAAGGTCTGGGCACAGGCAAATGATTTAAAAGTCAAAGGGACTCCTCTGAAGAATGACATTTTATTTACTAACAATGATTTTATAGTTTTAAAGTAATGTGCTTTACAGTTACGGTTATTAATCCTTTTTTTTTTCCTAATCATGTTAAATCATAATGGTAATGATGACTATTTTCATTTGATAAATACTTATTGACTGCTTATTACATGCAAGGCACCTTGTAGATAAACATCACCCGATGGAAATACAATGTGAGTCACAGATGCAAGCCCGGTATGTAACTTGATTCTTCCCAGTAGCCACATTAAAGAAGTGAAAAGACACTGGTGAAATTAATTTTAATAGTATGTTTTATTTAGCCCCGTATATTCAAAATATTATTTCAACATATAATTAATATAAAATTATTTATGTGATATTTTGCCTTTTTTAATACTGAGTCTTTGAAATTCAGTGTGCATTTGACACAGCACATCTTTCTTTTTAATTTTTTTTTTTTTAATTTTAGAGAGGGGTGGAGCAAGGGAGGGGC